CCCTCCCACCCCCACCTCCCCAGCCACCTCTTCCACCACCTTCTTGTCTTTTTTGCCAAGGAGGCATTTCAGGAGGAGGTGGTTCAATCTCTGTTGGTCTGCCTCCACGGTCAGGTACTCTCCCCATCAGGACCTATATACAGAAAAACAGGTCATTTTTAGTTAAAAAATGAAGTAATAGTAATTTGAAGGGACACTGGGTTCTTCTCTTATGGACAAAGACACAGTGCCTGCTCTTTACAGGAAATATGGTTCCCTCCGTGTGGAGCCTGACAGCAGAATCCCTATTTCCTGGCCTTGTAACTTGCTACAACACAACAGAACTCTGAAAGTGATCCCATTTACCGCCTGCAAAACTGAAATGAGAGCAGCTGGCTAGCTCATACTGCTTTTGCAAAACCTTTCCAAGAAAACCACATGCATGTGAGGCATTAGTATTACAATAAGCAATATACATAATTCATATACATAAAGATATAAATATATATCAAAACATATCAGAGGGCATCTAAATGAGGCACAAAACTTCAGAAAAATCTGTAAATAAAGGATTAACAAAACCAGGCTTAGTCACCATCTGAATGGTGGAACTAACATGATTACTCGCAAGCTTCAGTTTGTCTCATACACAAGAAAGCGGTACAATGTTGATTTATTACTGTAGCCAAACCAAACCATTGTACTTTGCAGCAAACTGAAACTTTCACAGGAACTTCTGTGATTTACAATATACTGACAAACTCAAGATGCTGGTTTATGAACTGAACAACATAATCCTGGCCACAGGTAGCCCAGGAACTGATACCAGACTTAGAGATATCCTTAACCTGAGGCACATTTACACACACACACGTGCACACAGACACCCCCACCACTGTCCCTTCTCATCTGGACTACTGTTGCTTTCTGTTGCATGACTGACTGTAATAAGATAAAAAATGAAGTTGCTGCAATGTTTACTGGAATGCTGCAAAACTTCCTTCCTTAAAGCACCAAGTATCTCGCAAAAAGAAAAGATTAAGCAAGGAGTATGATTCCAGAACTACTTTTGATAGGTCTGTGAACTCCCAAGTCCTTTTATCCCACCCCAGAAAGAAAAAGTATACCTTGTTGATTGCACAGACTGTATTTTCCCGTGTTGATCCACTACTTGTTCTTATGATCTTTGATAAATCTTCTCGAGCAGCAAGCAGGTGAGCTAGTGTAATAGTTGACTTTGGAGATAACGCATAGCGCTTGGGCTGATAGATTCGTGCTATGTCATCTGTTTTTACCTAAATGACAAAATCAAACACGAGTCACTTGCTAGGCATAAGACACACTTACAGTAAACCATGTATTGGTCTCAGTAAGTTTAGATTTGAACACAGGGTGTAATGTCTGAAAATCTAGGTTAGCTTACAAAATACAGTGCCAGCTGTTACCAACTCTCTTCATATTGATGGAGCTACTGTACAAAACATGCTGCTGATTGTTTAATTGATGCAGAAACAGCACCATTACAAAAAAATAAACCCAAAACCACTCCACCCTCTCCCATCCATTGGCATCTAACAGATTCTTTGATGTTTTCCAACATCTCTAAAGACAAATCTAAGGAGCCCAAACTGCTCTCTCAAAAGCTTTACGCAGCCATATTTAACAAATCATTTCTAAATGTGATGAAAATAGAGCAGCTTCAAAGTAAGTTCAATTTGTGAACAAAAAATTAAAATGTATCAATGCAGCAAAACAGTTGTGCAAGCCATGAAAAAATGAGACTGAGAAGGGGAGAAAACAACATTTTTTTCCAAACACACTGTGATGTTTCATTTGTTTATCAAAAAAAACCCCCCACTTTCTGTGAGCATCTAGAATGATCTTCAGAGTAAAAAAAAAAATTGATCTTGGATGGACCAGACAACAGGTGCTGTTCCTTTACATGACTGTTTTACGAGGCAATTACTACACCATTTACAGATCCAATTCAGTCTGCACACTTACCCCTCTTGGGGACTGAACAAGGTAAAAAAACCCACAAAAAACACAACACCATCAAAAGCAGAGAAAGGTTTCGATACCTATTCAACAGTGGGGAAAAAAAGGCAAGCTAACAAATATTTTAAAAAAGGACAAAAAATTTGCCTCTTGGCTTAAAAAAAATAATCTAATTATATCAATGCTAAAACATTTTCAATCCCCCAAACCTGCTTGGAGAAGTTATAAACAAATATTTCTACAAGAGAAATAAGGAAAAAAAGATTAAAAATAATATGTAACTTTTAATTAATATGTAACCTGGTTATTTCTATAACTGCATACTGTTCCACATCAACAGTCTTTGTAAGACAGGATAATTAATCACCTTACTACTTGATCATCATTAAAAATATCTTCAAACTATTGTTCTACTGTGAAAGTGTAGTCATTGTTTTTCACATTCATATCAAGTGACTTAAAATTTTAGTCTAAGTAAGTTAGTCATCAGTTAACATCAACTGCACGTTAGAAGTATACTTTGAACCTGAAAATACACAGTAGTATTGGTACAGCTAGAAGGAAGTTTCCTGGCTTCTGCGAGCTCAGTGCCCTCTTCTTCCTTTCTTGCGGCACGAAAGCGTTCACCAGCCCCGCAGAGGAGCCCTCCCAAGCAGCACAGCAGCATCTAGACTGCTCTGCCAGTGATACCTCCTAAGATTAATGAAACTGATTCTGTCTGCATGTGCAACTACAAACTGTGACACCAGAAAGACTTGTAACAATCCATACTTTCAGTGAGCTTCTGAAGTTTTAAGACGTAGTCATCCTAAGCTTTCTTCACAAACCTTTGGAAGAGAACTTGTCGTGCAGCTCACAAGCAAAACCATCTGCCTCCAGCTTCCCACATGTACATTCATCAAATTACAACCTTTTTCTATCTTATCTCCCTACTCTCTTGGATGGAAACAATATATATTTCCAGCTCAGAAATATCAGACTGGTTAAATCATGACTACTTTTTAATATACAGAATGCTAGGAAATAGTGCAAATGAAATTATCTCAATTAAAATGAAACTAGCAGAGAAAACCCAGAGGACTGGTTTGGAATTTTCAGCCACTTGAAGGATTACAAATAATTGTGGTTTTCTCACACAAGGTGCTATTCAAATAACCTGTTCAACTGACTTTCTGTTTATTCAGTAGCTTTGAATCCAAGATTGGCAGCAGTCACTGTAACCTCAAGGACTTTATGGGCAGTCACTCTTTGCACCCAATCTATGTCAAGGCCCGGTGTTTGTCTTCCTCTTCCATCTGCCTGAGAAATGCTGTGGTTCTCTCTTAGTTTACTTGATTGGAGGGGGATGGATACAGGAAAGAAAAAGGGCAGATGTGAACTTATTAAAGTCAGAAATCCTAACAGAGGATGGTAGAATTTATAACTGTGAAGCTATAAACAGTCACAAAGGACGGACCGTGCCAGCTGGTCACATCCTTCCCCCTCCTCAATTACTAGGACTTGGATGTTACAACCCAGGATGAGAAACTGGTTGGAAAGAAGACAACACTCATGCCATTTACACTGGTACGTATATTCGGCAGGAAGACATGTGGAATTGTAGCACACTCCCACCTACAGGAAGCAAAAAATACAGCAAGTTTACCTTTGCTCTATCAGACCAGCCAAAAGACTGTACTGTCACATCTAGCCTCTTCATTAACATACGTCGGCGACATTCGTACTCACTGCGAAGAGCATCATTGATTTTTTCCAATCTTTCCTGCAGTGTTACAATAAAAAAATCCAAACATTCAAATCTATTAAGTTATAGAAGTCAATTTAAAGTTAAACCCACTCAGCAACTAAGATGTCTGACCACTATAAACTACAGAAAATCAGGGGTGCATCTGTGCAGTGCTACAATAGTACCTATATATGAAACATTTTGAAAGTTAACAGGAGGATGAATCAACACAAAGTCTGTTTTATAACATTAATTCTGGAAATATCTGATTAACATTGTTAATATTTAGCAATTGAATTTTAGTATTAACATTTAGTAATAGAACAGTGACTGTAAAATGTGGAAATTAGATGAAGCCACATGCACTGATTTTGAGCATCCTGTTAAATACAGAAAAGAAACTGAGACTTTTTTTACCACTTGGTCAGAATTCAGAGGTTTTGTTAGCAGTGATTTCCCCACGTGGTTATTTTGAACTTTTGAGAGAATGTCCTTTATCTGAAACAAAACAGATACTTCTTCTCAGAACACAAATGGTATTTACATTTATTTCACCAAAATTTGCTGCAATTACAATTTGGTACTCGTGAGATCAAATATAGCACAATTGTTTTAGCAGACTCATAAGAACAGATACGCATCTTCTGGCTTATCATCCATCACAAAAAGATTTCCTGAATACCTTCATTACATGACCAACTTCTATACAAGAATACCTTATAGCACATCACTTCTCTCAATTACAACAGAACAATATTTATATGGCAAATTTATCAAGTGCATATAGGCAGTGGGACTAGTTAAATTACTCACTTTACTCACTACTAACTGTTGTAACTACAACTAAGGAAATATAACAACTGGAAGCTAGGAGTTCTGTTGCCAAATGCTAGACCTATCTACAAAAATCTGGTGATGGGTGCTGGTAAGAAAGGCAGGAGCTGTGAAAGGTTTGAGGTCATTCTCTCTCACTAATTTTCTCCTAGTCCTATAATAGGTTCCATTTAAATTATGTTTAGGACTTTTACATTCACTCCAAACCAGCCTTGCTTATACTTCTTCTATTAGTTTTTGCCCTCAGTTATCAGGCACGAAGTACATTCTCTTTCTGCCTTCCAAACTCCACTGCATTCTCCTCTCTCATTATAAGAAACCTCTACCTCTTCTTCAAGGAACTTCTTTTGGCACAGCTCTTCTAAAACTGTTATCATGAATGCCCACAACACTCATGCATAACTTTCTGGCTAACTTATTTTTCATCCAGTCCAAAGGGGAGAAGAAATACATCTTAAATTTGCTTTTGTAAAAAATCATGGGGAAGCAAGTCAAACAAAACTACAACTAGAGTTAATTTGCTTTTACATGTCACAAGGAAGGATTAAGGTAGTGCATGACCTACAGTAAAACCTGTAGCTGATACATTTGCAAGGACTCTAAAACTTCATGTAGGCACACGGGCATTTACATTGAATTTATCACAAATGCATAGTTCAAAGCTCACTCTTCCAGTATTATCTCAGTTCATCTTGTCAGAGTTTTGAGCTCTACATATTATACAAATATCATCTCCAGTGATCAGGATTTAAAAAAACTCTAAGAGACAGAAATCAAATTCTAGAGCACCTAGTTAACTGATTAAAGCCACCTACTTGAAAAGGAATACTTGATACATCAACTCTCATATTTCAGGGGTTTTGTAATTATCTCCTTTCCCCTTTTTTTGCATATACCAAGGAAAGAGTCTAATCTCAAGTTTTGTGTGAAAACCAAGGTATGGATTTTGTTCTTTTTACATCACCTTGGGGCAGCACTGTGGCAAGTAAAAACACAATACCTCCAGAAAAAGTTTTAAGTAAAAAATACTATGCAGTGAGCAAATTATGGGAAAACAATGTTTTGACTCCAGCAGAAAAGACAGCTTTCAGTAGTATCTGAAAAGTGGCCATCTAGTTATTGTAATATTCCCTGCTATTATACTCTATCCGTATCAAAAAAAGAGGTTACAATAAGGAGTGAAGTTCAGTTCCATGTATCCTACTGATCTCTACGCTCCTCTTTGCTAATTCTTGCTTCTTTGCAACCTTTATTTTCTTTACAAAAAGTCCTCCAAGGTTTTCTGATTTTCTGTCTTCTAAATGTAGACAACTTGTTTGATTTTAGTGAAGCGTGTACATGATGGCTCTCAATCTACTTCAAAATTCAAATGTACCTAACCACAAACTATGCTTGAATTTAGTTTTTTATTCTTCAGACATTTGTTTAAAGTTAATAATCAACAATATAGTAAGATCAGCATGACAGCAAGAGATGAAGAGATCAATAATTAGTATAGAAGAAGGAACAAACAACAGAGGAATTAAGAGTTCTGTTAGGCAAGGGGTGTCTATCCATCTACCATTAAGGCTGGAAATACAACCTCAAAGGTTCTAATGAGTCAAAAGGAAGAGTCTGTCAAAATGGGACTGGCTGCTGGAAAACAACAACACAGCAAAACCACCACAAATCCTCAATGTAACTTATAGCTACAGAGTGAAAGAAAAATCTGGAAACTGGTGATGCTGAATACTACCTAGAGATTAGAATTATTGCAAGTTTGCAGCTGCAAGGGCAGCTAACTGGTAAATACCACACTGGGCTCCACATAGAAGTGCACATGTTCTGCCACCATGAGTCAATCACAATTAAAAGACCTAAGCCAGCACTGTGTACTGACTTCCATTGACTGAAAAATGAAAGGAAGTTTAGAGAGAACCATTAAGGAAGAGAATCAGTGAAAATCAGAACTAGAAGAAACAAGACCAGCTAAATAAAGCAATCCCAAATTTCTGCAACCTTTCCTTTCCAAGTTAAAGAGAATACCTATGTAATTTTATCTTGTGACAGGTTTATTAATCAAGTAACAAGGGGGAATCTTTTCACTGATGAACTGGTCTACGTTCACATTTGTGACACACTGTAAAGCCAGACCCAGATTACTGAACCTGAACTTTACTCCCTCACTCCCATCAGCAGGACTCCGAGGGTACGTCCTACAACTACAACAGTGGAATGGGCTGAGCTGCCTTACAGTTGCAGAATCCACTGTCCAGCCTTGACTGATGACATACACCTGTCTGCCAGAGGACAAGAGCACAACCAATGTGAGAATCTATGCTAGAGCCCACATTCCTAAACATGACACTTGCCCTAGATTAAGAAGGATTAGCAGGAATTTTAAAAAACCACCACCACCAAACCCCAGAAAGAAGTCTGTACGTGTAAATGGGAACAATACCGAAAGCAGTGCCAAGATAAAAGAGCAGTGAAAACATACTCAACAGAAATGTAAAACAAATTGTAACAGCCAAATCATCCTAAAGTTCTCACACACACAGCTGCAAAAAGCAAATCAATTAATTAAAAGCTAGATAAGAGACAAATGTATTTGACTATTCACCATACTGTGTAATCAATGGCTTTGGTAACATTAAATATTTATGAGATTGCTCTGGAAGTTCACATACACTCTAAAAATAGTTTAAAAACAAATCAGTTACCAGATTTGTTCAAGACAAAAATACTGACTTCAAAATATGCTGTATAAAAATATACAGATATTTTATTATCACCAAATAAAGCCTATCTTTATGTATTGAACATGACATTTCTCATCTGTTTTGTAAGTCTATACTCCTTTAAAAAAAATTTAGCTCACATCTCACTCCCATGTTCCACATATTTATTATCTTTACCCTCTGTCAAAATAGAGCACTAATTTTTATATTTAACACTATTTGTACAGATAAACATGATACATGCATGCACCTCCAGGGTTTCTAAGATTTTGAAAAAAACCTGACCTGGAGAGAGGTGTCATTTTATTAATTTAAGTTAAACCATCAACACTTTAAGGAAGGAACATTGCCTTAATTAGTCATCGGGTGTACTGCACAATTGCAGAAAGATCACCTACAAATCTTAAGCACAAAATATTTTCAATCAATCCTCTGCCTTTCTTCCATTTGCCTGCAGATCATTTTGATTTCAATATTTATGAACTTTAAAGACATTTTTGTTTGACCTTTATGTCTGGTGAACAGGACAACTCTTCCGCCTTGCTCCCTGCAACTACGCTGATCCTAACGTACAGGCACTGTTATGTCTGTGAAGTTATGAAACACTAACAGTTAAAAGCAATACACTAACTTAAATATTTATGAATTCTAGGGAGTATTCCCAAATATTTTTAAAGACATTATTCTCAAATTTCACTAAAATGTTATTTTATCTCAGTTTTGATTTAGTTTCTTTAGTTTATAGTTTCTTTTCACTCTCTACTATTAGGGGACTACTTTTCACATATTAGAAAACAAATAATGTGGGAAAAAAAAAAATTAGAAGTCTTTCAAATAATATTGTATTAAGAAGTCCTTCAAATAAACAGTATTAGGATGTCACTTTGTAATTAAGTGTGAATTTCACACTATCTTGACTGGAAAAAAACCCAGAAGTGAGCAGGAGTTACAAAGCACAACACTGGCATAAACTTTTCTGAATCTTTGATCAATAATAATTTAGAATTTATGAGGCTTTTGGTACTAAATTTCAGAGTTACCCTTTGTAAATATACTTCACAAGGGAACAGCATCTTAAAAACACAAATAAAAAATTACTATTGGTTTTTCAGTGCTATAGAATAAAATAAAATATATTTAGTGGTAGGAAACTGTAATACTGTCAATTAATCTCTCACATTTTCTTATGTATGTTCATGACCAGTCCTCCAGTTTGTCACAGGAGATGCAAATTTAAAAGGTATTTCCTACGATTGCATATTCAAAGTTTGAGCTACCAGAAAACTCACAGTTTGAATGAAAACAGCAATCCCGATTTTATACTAGTCTTTTCCATACACTGACAAATTATGAAAAAACAATCAATGTTCTGATGTTCCATACCAAAATACAATGTGTGATCTGTCCCTTTGGTAGATTGCTGCTGCACAGCCAAACTATTCTCAGAACTATTCCCACAGCTACTGACAATGCTCAAGGTGCTAGACAGAGACAGAGAGTAGACACGTTGGAATGCTGCAGATACATTTGCAAATTCAATAAAAATACTAGATTAGTATGTAAGCTTCTATAACAAATGATACAGTATAATACTAAAAATCAACAGTGTGATTTTACACTAATTAAGAAGCAACAAAATATTTGGAAAAATAAATTGAACATTTCAAGTAATTTTTTCAGATAATCTAAAAAAAAAAAAAAAAAAAAAATTAACAAATGGCACTCTGGGAAATAAAAAAGAGTTTCCAAAGCCAGTGAATTCCAGTTGGTGGTCTCATCATTCTAGCGCAGATACATCTACAAATGCAGGTGTCTAGCTCTGTACTGTATCAAAATAACTCTGAACCTGTCCTATACTAAAGTAAGGGATGAAGGACAAGGAAATATATAGTAGAAATTCTACAAAATCACCTGAGAGGTAGGAAAAAAATCTTTTGTTTGTAAGGAATGAAACATGCAGAGTACAAATTACACCATTAATTTGGAGTCACAGAAGATGAACGATCTAGTTTTGCTACCTTTCTACACTCTGAAGTGAGCACAAGTGGTATAACCACTGTAGAACTGACAGACCTAAAAACCATGGCAAAATAGCCCAGGCAGTATTATTAAAAAAAAAACAAAAAACCAACAAACAAACCAAAACAAAAACAAAATCAACCCCCCCCAGGCTTTAAAGATTCTGAACTGTAACAGCATACATAAACTGTAACAGGAACACCCTACACATCAACTCAAGCCTGTGATCCTATGGACTCTGCAAAAGCTGGCAGATACCAGGAGTCTAATCATTCAAAGAACAGAGAACTCTCTAGATTCTCTGTGTGTTCATGTGTGAAGGAGCAGGCCCACCAGGTCTGGTCTTGCTGTCCTGCAGAACTAGAATCCGACCCCTTTAACATGGGATGAAACTAAATCTGCACCCAAGAAGTGAAGCAAGGAAGTGAGCAAGGAAGGGCACTGCCCACGGCTGCAGCCTACAAACCCCTATGGATGGAAACACAGCTAACACCCCCAGAGGGAGATCAACAATACTCGGCAACTTTCAATTAATCAGTTATTAGCTGGAACTTTAACATGTTAACCCTCAGAAAACAGTGCTAGAATTGTTTCTTTACCCTTTCAAAGATACTTAATGGAAAGACTGGATATAACTATTTCATTGGAAGTAAATAGTTCAAGCACAGTTAATAGTGCAGGAATAGGCATTTTCACCATCACCTGAATGCTGCTCTTTATAAATTAATCTGTGAAAGGCTTCGTCTTTTCACACTGAAGACGTACAGATGCAAGAAACCATGGAAGTAACAGGACCCCTCCCCAAACCCTCTGAATGTTCAACTGCCCACTGGCTGATGAGAAGAGGAGGAGGAAGAAGAAAAAAAAAAAAGCAAAGCATAATCATGTAATATTATTAAACTCAAAGACTCAGCAGCAGAGGGAGATTCATTCCATGTATCTTCCATAATTCTTAAAGGGGATCGGCCACCCCCCTTCTCCCCAAATACTAGGGAGACATGAAGAGCAAAACTTTTAGCTGCCTGACAGAGAAGATAAATTCCACCCCAAGAGCCTATTTACATTGTGCAGTGCCAAAGCGAGATTAAGGATCATGTCAGTGAAACGAGTTAGAAACTGGTGGGACACAACAGAAAGAACTATCCTGTTCAATAAGGTTTCAGTTGGCTTATTTACTGGCTGTTGGTAATTTGGGCATTTTCACCCTCTTCTGCAATTAAGGAAATTGCACTAACAAACCAATACTGGCAATTAAGAAATTAATAAACTAAAAAGCAAAAATGTTAAGTTTTAGATACTAAATTTAAACACATCCCAGCAATAACTACAACTACATAAATGTGGAATCAGTTATTACCTAAAGTCTTCTGCTTGCTGCAGCACATTTGAATGGGTAACAGGAAAACTGTATTAGTTCAACTCGTACCTTGAATGTGCATGGCAAAGTATGTCTCGTCAGGTACCTGTCCTCAGGGAAGTGCCAAAATACATCACCTCTAACTAAAACAGTTTAACTTAAACACTAAGCTGGCTTTCAGAATAAAAATTCCTTTGTACTGTCAGATAGGGCTTTTATGGATTAGACTGTTGGGCCCTTACAAGATGTAAGCTTACAGAGATAACACTTAAATGTTTAGCAATAGAGAGAACATACAAAAGCCCATACCTTTTGTTCCACATTAGTTAACAAGGGAGGAAGATCAGAAGAGGAGGAGTTTGGCAGGCCCAGTGCATCACAAATAGCTTGCACTTCCTGATAAATTTCATTGTGCTTTTCCAAATGAGAGCCTTTAATTTTCTTGCTGTGCAATATCTTTAAAGCCTGAAGTTCTGTACTTAGAAATACTAGAGAGAAAAGTGTCATAATGGCAGATTTAGAGGTACTTGAGTATTTCTGCATCCACATTCTCATATACAAATACAATATATACATTTATAATCAAACCATGATAAAAGGGAGATGCTTTCCCAGTTCTCTCCTGGACAGGTCAGTATGTTTCCCATTTTTTATCTGAACTCTGGAACCCAACACATCATATTTAACTGCTCAACCTCCTTCCGCCACCAGAGCCCTAGTTCCTTGGCTAGTTTAGTATCATCACATTGGTTCCTGCTGCTACTCCTTTGTCCAAGTCCAGCTTAAACCTAGACTTTGCTTCTCTCAATTGTGCTTTTAGCACCTCCAAATCATGTAGCATTTTATTTTAAGCTCTCAGGAACATAGGAAGTGAGGTCTCAGTTGCAACTCAGCTGGAACTGGTTCAAGAGGGGGGTCAGGAGGCACCAGTACTCAAACTTCACAAAGAAATTTTAGTTTCTACTAGAATAGTTTTCTAATATGTTTCTCTTTTCCTTCTGCACAAGGAAGGAAAGCTGAGCTGAAGCTGAGCTGCATGCTCAGCTAGGCTATAATGATTGTACACACATACTTAAACACACATAAGGAACTATTTAATGTAAATTGTACAATAATGATAGAGCATGCATATAAAATACTGCATTATAAATGGGAAAAATGGTTACAACTTACAGAGAAGTTTAAGACAATCTTCTTTCTCTTTTAATCTGTCCTTGATGTCTCCAGATATAAGTGATGAGTATGGACAAGCCATTTCTCTCAGAAAGCCACTTATCTCAAGCTGGAAGCTCTCTATATCTTTATCACCTACAGGAATAAGTAAATGCAAAGCTAATGGCTTTTACAAAAACATCACGTTGTAATCTAGTTTTCTTAACTTATACATTTCAATTGCAATAGCCCAAACAAAGATTTGCCACCTACCACCCTAGTAACATCTTCCTTCTCAAAGAACTCCTACATATAAGCAGGCAAGCCTTTTAATAGCTACAGCAAAACCGTACTTGTGCTTTGAATAAGAAGGTGATGCTACAGCAGTCTTTGAAGACAAGAATGCAAATGAACATTGGTAGGAAGTGAACAGCTTATGTCACAAAACAGTGTATCAAGGTAATTAATTTTCTGATCAACAAGTTACAGGAGTCATGAGCCCATCATTTGCACTATTTGTTTTTAGTTTTACTACATCTTTGTGAAAGCAACCAATATAAAATCCCATCCAAGCTCCAGCACTCAACAGAAAGCATCAGGTAGTACTAACAAGCAGCTCACGTATCTACACTGAGTGAAGCACTGCACTGGACCAACTAGCTGAAAATACCAGGCACTGGAACTTAAGCCACCATAATACAACTACATATAACAGCTACTCATAGGATGTATGAATGTACTTTTTATATTTATGCATGTCTCAAAAAATCCAAAGGCACCTTTTTTTCATTTTGAAAGAATCTTCACAAGACAAGCCTTAATCTACGAGCCACACACATACAAATATCAGCCTCAGTCTGGCTCCCTTTCAGCTATCTTCTAAACTTCAGCACTGTAATTTCACTATTAGCTGAACAATACGGGTCTAAATCCACTGAACAAATACTAAATTGCTTTAATAAATCAACATTCATATACCATCTGTTGAAGTGATGCTTTCTTCCATATTACAAAGTGACTTTATTTGGGAACCTAACCAAATGCAAAGCTCAAAAAATTCTGGTGAAGCCAATCCATTTTCTGCAGCTTTGTTCAGGGCTTCCTCCTCCAACAGGGGACCCGTGTATCTGCACAGAGAGATAAACAATAGTAGCAAGAAGAAAATTTAATATAAGATATACATATTTTAAAATCATTTTACTATAAGCTAGTTAGTAACTACACTGAAATAAATTAATCTTTGTAAGTTACTTTTGTCAAGGAATAATGCAGACTTTTTTTAAACACACTAAAAAATGGTGGTAGTTTATAACCAAAATGGTTTGCCAGAAACTAGGAGGCAGGCATCTTCACATGTGTATATGAAGAGAGCTGCATGCCTCAATACCTGCTAAACAGACAAGATTTCAAGTATTAATTCAAGTGTTCAGTCAAACAAATTTCCTTCCAGCATTAACAAGTTGCTGCCCTAGAGGACTGGAAATAAGGTAACTGAAAACTAAACTACATTTTACATTGTTTCTGCTCTGGAGGGAGACAGGCAGGCAGGCAGGGAGACAGGC